ATGTGTACTTCAAAATTGGCCAGGATCATAACATCTCTCTCTTTTTTCTTTTCTTTTTTGTTTTGTTTTGTTTTGAAAAACATCTGCGGGAGCCTACTATTGGAAGTGATACGAGCATCCCCCAATAGTAGGCCCCTAGTGATGGATGGCTCCAATCTTTTGGTGGGGAGTGGCACCTGCTGGAAACTGGGTCCAGCATCCCACTTACAGGACTGGAGAAGGTCATGTCAAACAGTCATATCATGCAGGTTGAGGGGATTAACCGTCCGCCTATTTATAGGTGAGGTTACATCATCCTTGTGACTCCAATTGCAACTGGCGAAACCCATACAGAATTACTTAGACAATCCCTAAACCCCCTCCCAGCCTAAGCATGCCGGTGAAATTGAGGAAGCCAGTTGTAGCCTTACCATAGGATGCTCCCCTGGACAAGCAGTTTGTATGTCAGTTCAGGTGACTTGTTAATTGTTGATTTGCAATCATGTCAACGGGCAGCTCGCCTGTCACCCTGAGATTGCCTGTCAGGCTGTCACACAAAGAAAAAGGGACAGCGCAGGGGACATCAGCAGCCTTTTCCTCTCCACTTCACATGTCTGCTGGGATGGTAGTTGTTGTAGCAATGTGTGCTACCCAGGGGGAAACAGGGTGGCAGCGGCCCTCCCTTCTTAGCGCTTTCATACTCTAACACCAACAGAGAGCCTAACCGCAATGCCCCGCCCTATCCAGTGGCCTAGCTCAGTTGGTAAGGCACGCAAGTGGCATTCAGGAGGTCTTGGGTTCAATCCCCATTGGCCTCATGCACCTTCCTGGGCAAAGCTTGGCGCCCGCCACCTAGAGATATGCCATTGCCCCCCCCGAGTGGCATTGAGCAGAGACTGCTGATGTTCACAGGGGGAGGGGACCGGAGGGGAGGCACAGTGACTGGCCCATCGAAGAAGCTTGGTCCTGATGCTACCGGCTAACCCCTGGCCGGTATCGCCCACCTGCTGTAGCAGGTATCGCACCTGTTGGTGGGTGCAGCTCCCACGTGTTCCCTCGTGGAGGCTTGAGCACGGATGTGGCTGCTATGGGGTTCCCCATAATACTATATAATGACAATAAAGAAGGCCTGAAAGGCCCGCCTGTCCAGATTTGACAGGTAATTGAATTGGTTGGGCTTAAAGAATTATCCTTTCATCGTTGGAGGCTTGCGCACGGATGTGGCTGCTACGGGGTTCCCCATAATACTATATAATGACAATAAAGAAAGCCTGAAAGGCCCTCCTGTCCAGATTTGACAGGTAATTGAATTGGTTGGGCTTAAAGAATTATCCTTTCAAAAAAGAAAAAAAGAAAAAAAAGCCCCGCCCTGGTCAGTGAAAGCGACATACCCATCCTGGCTCGAAACGGGTCCCCCCATACCTCAAAGTTTTCTTCTGCCTCTTGTAGCATCTCCAGTGACAGGCTATCTTGTGCTGGCAGCATCATCGCAACTGTTTCGTGGATTTGTTGCCTGTATATGCCGACAATGTCTGCCACCGATGCCGTGTCCCACCATGATGAGGAGGACACCTCCTGACCGGGAGGGTGCTGCAGGCCAGGAGGGATGCCCTGCCCACCCTCACCCTCTTTAAACTCGGTGCCCATAATCGCCGCCCAACCGCTCCTGAAGGCGGCACACTGATGAGACTCACCTGTCAATGCTCTTAGACGCAGTTGTTGAAGCCCAGATGTCAATCGATGTCGTCGTGTCGCCGATGTTGCAGTGGTGCTCACCCCGTCTATACGGTGACGTTAGTGCGTCAACCTATCCTACATGTGGACTCACCACTCCGGCCCTGTTGTGAAGCCGGGGGATGTCGACACTCGAAGCCTAAGGAGATGGCCAATCAAAGCGATGACGTCTCCCCAGACTTTGCACGGATCCTGGCGGACGAGCCTGGTCACATCTGACTGGAAATCCCCTACCATGGAACACTAAACCACCAGTGCCTTTGCTGCATCGTTGCCCAACCTATCACTGCCGGACCTGTGAGAAAAGTCCACACTTGTGAAATGAAGTACGGAAAACAACCATCCCTCACTGAAAAAAAATGGCGGCCATGGGGACTTTGAGGCCCATCTAGGAGGGAAGAAGATGGCAAAAAAACGTGAGATTTCTTTCTGGGGTGTACTCTATTGGGGCCTCTTCAAGAAGATTCCTTAATTATTAAAAAAAAAAAAAAATCCTTAATCAAAAATAGGGTTCCACATGCCGTGACCCATGGGGTCCATTACGGGAAGGGCGGCTAAACAGACGCTACCTCCCACGTACTCGAGTTCAAGCCCTACAATGAAACAAACGAAGAATATTCTTGCACAGATGGGCACAGCTCTCGTTGCTCCCAGTGTCACTGTAGCAATCTCTTGGGAAAACAGGCTGTGCCATGGCATCTTCAATTAATAACCGATCGACGAGGCGTCGCATGTGGTCCAGCAAACACAACAAAAAAACACCGGGAATTGAGGCACTCGTTCAGTCTCGAAACACGTAGTGCAAAAACAGTGGAGTCCCACTTACATTGAGGAGTTTCCTCGAAGTAAAGGGCCTCATTAGACACTCGTCAGAGCATCCTTGGGCCCAAGGACGAATCCTGGAAAAAAAATAGGGTTTTTGGAGTCTGCGTTCCATTCATCCTCGGAGCTTTTTCGTGGGAAAAAAGAAAAAAGAAAAACAGGTGTCCGTCAGGCTTTCAGCCAATAATAGTGTGCCGCCACAATCCGGGTTCTCCGCTGTAACATCTCCATTACGTGTATGCCCTCTCCACTCTGTACAAAGCAGTCCCTCAACTCCACTGGACCTCAAGAGGTCCCTTGGAGCCCAAGGACAGAATGGCTGGGGAATCCTTCGAGCCCAAGGATTTCACGATGGAGAGTTTTCACATTCACTATGAACACTCCGTCCCCGAGGACAGGTGGAACGACGGCGTAGTCCGCCAAATCGCGTCTTCAAGGAGTGTGTAACAAAGCCCTGAGACAGTGGACTACAAGCCTTCTCTTTTTTTCGTTTTCACGATGGAGTGTTTTCACATTCACTTTGAACACTTCGTCCCCGAGGATAGGTGGAACGACGGCGTAGTCCGCCAAATCGTGTCTTCAAGGAGTGTTTAACAAGGCCCTAAGACTGTGGACTACAAGCCTTCTCTTTTTTTCGTTTTCCCTTTTTGAAGTCCAAGATGTTGTAGAGGAAGTAGAATGGCAAAAGAACAGAACAGAGGAATGACAAACTTCTAGAGGGGTTCTCAACACTTACCGCTGGATCCGAGTACTCTAGAATGGCACGAGAGCTCAGTCAGTGTTTGGTGGGTTGCCGGAGATTTCTAGTTGACGAGTGGCCGTCGCCTACGCTAAGTGGCCGCATCTGCAGACCAGCAGGACCCGTTCGGGTGTGAACTGTGGAACCACCGCATCCAATTCTCGCAGTTCCAGTTGCTGCATCAAATGGCACGGCGTCGACAGATGTCACAAGCTCTGTGGCTCCCACATGCTAGGTACACAGGGGCATGCCGACCCCAATTGTACCAATTGTATAGGAATTGCTGTTCTGGCCCCTGTCTACGAATTGGACATGACATGTCAGGGTGCTGCACAGAAGTGCAATGTGGACTGTCGCCATATGTACGGAAACAAAAACTTGCATGGCCTACGCCTCCATAATCCTCGGAAAGCAAGGCATGCAAGTCACATGCTCGTGGAATCTGGTCATCGCAGAGCAGCATTGAGCAAGTTTCTTGGGTATCCTGAGTCATTATTCCCCCTCTCTATGGGACTGATCCAAAGCAAGGGTGTTTAGCCGTCTCGAGATTTGGTTTGGTCTGCATCAGCTCGCCCTGGCGGTGATAACCTTTCAGTATAGCGCTCTGTAGGTGGTTCATATGGTAGCCTTATTTCCTCCTCAGGCTGCTGGGTCGGTTGTTCGTCTGGCAAGGGCGAGGGAGCTCCGACTGCGATTGCAGCAGGCGTATGCCCAATGCTGCATATGGGATGTGGCGGGTCACGACACTGCGGGAATAGTCTACACAGTAGAAAGTTAGAAACAGAATAATTTCAATGACAGCTTCCTGGAAACATTGAAGGCAAACATGTCATCAGTAAAGAAGGCTGACATGCGCAATTATTCAAGCATGGCAAATCAAGGCCACAACGGCATGCTAGGCACATAATCAAGGGAGGGAAAGGGGGGGTGAGGGGGAGAGGGGATGAGTACAAGACGACGTGTTGCAGTTTTCGCGGCAGAGGCTGGCAGTGACCATCCCTTCATAGCGTTCGGAGCAGAGACTATGCTGTGTGCATGCTAACCGAACTGTAGCTGTGTGGAGACACAATGGCATGGCACAGAAACCATCCTCTGGAGAGGCTCCTTTACCATCTGAGATAGAATCCGTCTGATCTACATAAGCAAGCGATGCTGCTTGAGGTTCGGCCGGATTGCTCTCCACATATTGTTCCTGATTGACCATCCAGACCGAGTGGGATCCTCTCTTTTGATGACAGAAAAGAGTTAATATTTCCCCCCGCATGCACCCTACCCCCCTATTGTCCCATAGGGTTCATGAATTATCCCGCAAAGGTAACATCACTGAAATGAGCTGGACAATGTCTGGGACAAATGTTCTGGTCCATGTACGCCACAGATGTTCGGGTCCGTGTCTGGAATGTAGTTCTGTGGAGGGTTGGAATTGTAGTCGTCTTCCCATAAAAATGCCATAGATTGGACTTCTACGTTCACGCCGGGCATAGTATTGTCATCCTCTGGGAAGACAGCATGGACAATGCTTAGTATTGTCTCCTCGCTTACGACCGCAACCCCTATACTGTTTCTGAGCACGGTGCTCTTCTTCTATCCGGCGCCAGCGACAATGTCTGCGAAATCAGAAACAGTATAGGGGTTGCGATCGCAAGCGAGCGACGAGACATGCATTAATGGCATAGCACGCACAGCGGCCCCGTTGTAGCTGCAGTGTACCATTATGAGGGATTTGGTAGCTTGCGCAGTAGGGGCGGTTCGTTTAATTCCTCTAGTATAAGGGGAAAAAATGGTGCAGCGATGCTGCTAGTATACTCATTCGCACCGTTCACCGGAACAATTGCTGTATATCATGACAATACAGTACAGTGCTCCGCTTCCATCAAAGTGAGGATGTCTGCAAAGTAGGAAACAGTGTAGAGCATGCAATTATAAGCAAGCCGACATCTGTCAATAGCATTCTATTCACCGTGGCCTCACCATATTACAATGAGGCCTGTAGGCTCCACAGATTGCACGATCGTGGAAGGGGCATCCCGCGCTCTGGAGTCTCAACCAGGCATTTGTGGCTGCCACACCTCGATGTTTTCCAGTAGTCCAGGGACAGGTTCCAGCAAATGATTGGATGATGCACTGTACACACACACACACACACACACACACACACACACACACACACACACACACACACACACGCACACACACACACACACACA